ATACAAATAATTTATAAAATAGTTAATAAATGTAGTAGTGGGGACCACTTTTGAAAGTGTAGGTGACGTGGCACAGTTGAAAGTGTTGTAGGTGAATTGCAGGTGTGTGGAAGATAATTGCAAAAGCTGATGTGGCACAATTGAAAGTGTAAATGGATTGCAGGGATGTGGATGGTCTAAACATACATCAGAAAATATGCAAAACAAAGCATATTTTATAATATTTGATGTCCTTTGAGAAAATAGAATTTCGTTAAATGATTTGGTGCAGAATAATTAAGTGGTCATAATGATTAAGAGACTCTTATGATATAATGCAAAATAAAATATAATTGTTTGGTAATTGTTTACAATGAAATTAGTGTGCTTAATGGTTAAAGGAGACCCATGATACAAAATAATTCAGAGGGTTTTATAACCATTAAGAGACAAACTCTCTTTTACCAAACAAATTTCACCTCTTAATGAAACTCTTAAGAGGTAAGCACACAACCGGATGTGTACAATATCATATTAATTTGACCACTTCATTATTAGACAAAAAGCAGGAAATACAAGAGCGTATATATCTCGTTCCACGAACCCGACCACGTAATTAACAGACGAAGGAAGAAACAAAAGGTGAAGACATCATATATATATGGCTGCTTCTTCATAGATGATGGAATGAAAGCCAAAGAAACATGCATGACCTTCAACTATTACCACTTACAACACTCCAGATCTTGATCATAACGACTCTTTAACTCCGAATCCTGAGGGAGTTTTTTGAGATCCAAATACATATTGCATTTGTCTACAGCCATATTCGCCAGCCTATCGGCACATCGGTTGCGACTTCTTGGAACAAACTTGATAGTGATATCGTATTCGCGAGCCAGCTGTCGACTTTTCTCGACGATCAGGCGTTTATCTACATATTTCTCCGGTTTATTGAGCAATACGGATGCTCCCTCATGATCGGTTTCAAGAATGGATCCCCTGTGTTCAGGTTTATTCAAAAGCTTTAAACCATTATAAATTCCATACATCTCAGCTGTGAAAATATCAGTCGAAGCAATGAACCCTTGAAAACCTCGAACCCATTCGCCACAATCGTTTCGAAGGATTCCTGCGTACCAACTCGGTCCTCGCTCATCAGATTGCTTGGTTCCATTACATACAGCATCTGTGTTCATTTTGAACCGACCTGCAGGGGGAGGAGACCAAACACTGGTTGGTCCAGTAGATTCATATTGTATGGATTCATGGACGGGGATATTGTGGTAGGAAGACTCCGTTCCATGAGCTTTCATCTTCATGGCATCATCGTTCTCTTCGCTCTCCGAGTTTGAGCTATTTGAAATCATCCTAGATATTCCCCAAGCAACCATAACTATAGCAACAGCGGCTCCAACACCCATGTAACCACCATCGGAGCTACTATTTTCAGTGCTACCCATGGTTTGTTTGCTTTTTAGGGCTGCAATTCATGAATGATGGAGAATGCCACTAATATAGAATACTAGACGGATGAAAAGTGGGTATTAGAATAGAAAATTGTTCGAATTCAACCTATGAAAACGAGCTAGATATAATTAAAAAAAAGGCATAAAGATAGCTAGACTTGTATCATCTTCCATTAAAGTAAGAAGATGTGTCCACATTTTTTTCAGACATTTTCTTAAAGTAATACGCATCTAGATTCCGTTATTTTGTTCGGAGTTTTATATCGGTTAAACTTGAGTCATTTATATATATATATATATATATATATATTGTAATATTGATCTTTTGAAGAGTAATATAATGATGGTTTTATATATTCTCGGCCATGCTATTTAAAAATACGAATATGCATGTGAAGTTATTATACGTGATTTTGTTGTACATTTGGAAAACCAATTTATAACCATGATGTTCTATATACATTTCACCAACTCCATCCACGGTCATATAAATGATTAAAAGAATTGGCTAATGTAATGCTAGAAGGGAAAAATCCCACCTTATTCTTCCAAAAGCTTATCATATGATGGTCGTATGTTCAGACTTATTGTCGTGAATTATTTTAATAAGGGGCCGTTTATCAAACACTTATTCGGGTAAGCGTTTACCAAGTCGCGTTACCTTACCGGATGAATATGGCTAGGACCAAGAATCTTACCCGGTAAGAATGAGACAAGGACCATGAGTCTTACCCGGTAAGTGAGGGCGACAACTCTTACCACAGTAAGAGCTTACCGGGTAAATTGTTGCATACGATGTCGTTTTGATGGACTAAAATCTTACTCAATAAGTAAATAATAGTGTTAAATTTTACCGGTAAACACTTACCGGGTAAGTGTTTGGTAAACGGTTCCTTAATGTATTTTCCAAATTATTATGTTTATATTGTTTTTTTAATTAGACACAACAAAAACCTCAAAATAATATATTTTAAAATGTCCCTCATAAAGTATTACCTTAGGTATCGATTGAAATAACATGTATAGGGATTCAGAGTACAGAGAGATGGAAATTCGCATATGGATAAAATATAGGGATCTTGTGTACTAGACGGTAAAAGTGGTTTGGCCTCTCTCTCATTTCTTGTCCTTATACAGTAAATAGGGGSCCCAATATAAAGGGAATACAATGCCTTAATCAAGGCTACAAATCAAGGGAAATAGAAGGATACAATAGTTACTATAAATACAATGTCTAATAGTCCCCCTCAGTCTGAGCGGTAGGTGAGCGGACGTTCAAACTGATGCGAAAATTCTGAAACAGTAGACGAGGGAGCCCTTTGGTGAAGATGTCGGCATACTGAGATGAAGATGGAACATGGAGAACTCGAATGTGGCCGATTTGAACTTTTTCATGAACAAAATGTATGTCCATTTCAACATGCTTCGTGCGTTGATGTCGCACCAGATTTTAAGAAAGATAAACAGCGGAGACGTTATCACAATAAACAACAGTCACATTGCAAATGGGTACATGAAGTTCCAGTAGTAAGTTACGAATCCAACTTTCTTCRGCAATGACATCGGCAACCTCGCGGTATTCAGCTTCAGCACTCGAGCTAGAAATAGTGGGCTGTCGTTTAGAGGACCATGATATGAGGTTATCTCCTAAGAAAACACAATACCCAGAAGTGGACCGTATCGAGTCCGGGCAACCGCCCCAGTCGGTGTTTGAGTAGGCGACGAGCGATTTAGCCGGAGAGGCATTGATCCGTAGACCATAATCAAGAGTACCCTAAATGTAGTGGAGAATCCTTTTCATAAAAGCAAAGTGAGGCTCTCGTGGAGCATGCATGAAGAGGCAAACCTGTTGGACTGCATAAGTGATGTCGGGGCGAGTGAATTTCAAATACAAAAGAGCATCGGTGAGACTCTTGTAATGAATGCCATTGGCTAATAACATGCCATCTGAGGCATTGATTTTAGACGAAGTTTCAACCGGAGTGGCATAGGGTTTGCACGAACTCATGGATGCCCAATGCAAAATGTCTTTGGCATATTGTGTCTGAGATAAAAACAACCCTGTGGTATCTCGAGTGATCGTGATCCCTAAGAAGTGATGAATAGAGCCCAAATATGTCATGGCAAATTCACGGGATAAGGTGGAGATGACATGTTGAAGAAGAGAGGGGTACGAGGCTGTGAGTATAATGTCTTCGACATATAGTAATAAATATGTGGTGTATCCCCTTGATGATACACAAATAGAGATGTGTCACAGATGCCATTACGAAACCCCTTAGAGGTAATGAAAGTAGAAAACCTTGTAAACCAAGCCCTAGGTGCTTGTTTGAACCCCTAGAGTGATTTCTTGAGTTTGCACATGTAATGAGGAGCATTATGATCTACAAATCCTGATGGTTGATGCATATACACAGTTTCCTCTAAGTGTCTATGAAGGAAATCGTTCTTAACATCTAATTGATGTATAGGCCACTGTTTGGATATGGCAAGACTAGGTACCGTATGAATGGTAGCCGGTTTGACAATCCGGCTAAAAGTGTCGTGACAGTCAATACCTATCGTTTGAGATTTCCCATTGACCACCAAGCGAGCTTTATATTGTTCAAGATTGCGTTGGACTTAAACTTGTGTCGGAATAGCTGTAAACATTTAATAACCGAGCTATCCGATGGTCGAGGAACAAGTTCCCATGTTAGATTCTCTTGCAAAGCACTAAATTCATTGTGCATGGCACGTAGCCAATTAGGTTGCAATTAAGCCTTAAGGTATGAGGTAGGAATGGGTGCGATAGGAGTAAYAGTGGCTAGAGTAAACATGGGATTGGATTTTATGATGCCTTGTTTTCTTCGAGTTTGCATGGGATGGTGGTTTTGAGGTGGGACAATATTTGTAGTTTGGGTTTGGGCGATGGGGGGTTAGCAGTAGGTTGGGTTTGGGYTGGCGATGAATGGATAGAAGTTTGTATGGGCCATGGATGTGAAGCGATAAAGGAAGTGTGAGTGGTAGTAGGGTCAAGGGTGGGAGTATGTGAAGGGGTAGGTGGTGATAAGGGGGATGGAGGAGGTGTGTTAGCATCAAATTGATCCTAATAATTATCTCAAAAAGTTTTATTAAGCAATCGGGGCCGCTGTGCTAAATCGATCAAATATGGATGACAAGAGCCTCTATGAGAAATGACTAAGTCTGGAGTCGACCATTGGATCGATGGAAAGTTCAACCATTGGATGAA